ATTTCTGTCAGGACCACTATCGTCAAAGATGATTGACAATTAGCATACAGTTTGGATTGGCGGTATGGTTCCGTTCTGGGCAAGAACTCCCTGCGCATCCATGCAGCCTAGCATGGATGAGAGCAGGGAGAGCAGCGATAACCCCCCAGGGTAAACAGAACAGAACCAACATAAATGTATTGCAGATATTGTTAAAGTTCAATCATTTTATGTACACATTTTTTAATTAGTCTGATTCAAAGGAGAATCAGAAGGCTGAATCCTGACTGACAGAGGAGGAGCTGGGGATGTAGGAGGGTAATTAGCTATTGAGCAATGCGAAAACTGCTGATAATACTGAGGGACCTTATATATGAAGGCTTAGATAAGTGTTGTATTCCCATAGGCTGATGGGGATCAGCTGAAGGTCAGCTGATGCGAGCTTGACTAACGTGACCTGCCAGAACTAACGCTATGCTTGATGTTTGTTAGGAGAAAATAGTATGTACTGTTGTGTTTTATTGTTATATATGTCACAAAATGCCTGCAGGTTATTGGTTTGGTCATAATCAACATTTATATGTAGCTAATTAAATTGTGAAATTTAGTGAAAATGATTTCTAAAAATAATAAATAGCCTATACGATTATAATCAGAAAAAATATATATAATTTAATAAGCAACTTCAGATCCTGTATAAAATATTGCATATACAGTATCTCACAGAAGTGAGTACACCCCTCACATTTTTGTAAATATTTTATTATATCTTTTCATGTGACAACACTGAAGAAATGACACTTTGCTACAATGCAAAGTAGTGAGTGTACAGCTTGTATAACAGTGCAAATTTGCTGTCCCCTCAAAATAACTCAACACACAGCCATTAATGCCTAAACCGCGGGCCACAAACGTGAGTACACCCCTAAGTGAAAATGTCCAAATTGGGCCCAAAGTGTCAATATTTTGTGTGGCCACCATTATTTTCCAGCACTGCCTTAACCCTCTTGGGCATGAGTTTACCAGAGCTTCACAGATTGCCACTGGAGTCCTCTTCCACTCCTCCATGACAACATTTTAAATGGTAGAATATATATATATATATATATATATATATGACAAGAAGTCCTTAACATTGTTACAAAATATTAATATTTCAAATAAATGCTGTTCTTTTGAACAGTTAAGGCTAGATGCTATACAGATTCGTCTACTGTGCCTGCGCACATCAATGTAGTGTAATTTTTTTCATGTTGTACAACAATAATCACTGTTTTTGAATTATTGTAAGGGGTAGATTTAGGGTTGGGGTGTAGACGTTAATAAAACATTCTACTAGGTAGAAAATTAAATTTGTTGTTAGCTTCCGGTTTTAGCTGTATCCCGTCTAGCCACAACCCTTTTGAACATATTATTCTTCAAAGAATCCTGGAAAAAAATGTGTCACAGTCTCCAAAATATGAAGCAGTGCAGCTGTTTTCAACACCAATAATAATAATAAATGATGAAATAAATGATGATTTCTGAAGGATCATGCGCCCCTGAAGACTGGAGTAATGATCCTGAAAATTCAGCTTTGATCACAGAAATAAATTACATTTGAACATATATTTACATTGAAATCAGCTATTTTAAATTCTAATAATATTTCACAAAATTAAATTAGTAAATTAGATTAGCAGAATCTAAATGAGATTATCAGATGAATTAGCAGACAAATGCTGCCTTGGAGAGCAAAAGAAACTTGGGGGGAAAAAAAATAAAAAATTACCAACCTCAAACATTTGAACATGTATTTTTGTGTACGATATTTTTGTTGTTGTTATTGCTGTGTGGTGACCGCGTGTGAATATAATATTTTATCATTCTTATTCTTATTACAAATACTACAATTGGCAGCACCTGTAATTACGAACCATGGGGAAAAAGTATTCATTATCATTGTACCTGTTTACAAACTGTGTATTGCAGTATTTTATGGTGTGATCACAGCTATAAAAGACAACTTTACAAAAAAAAAATAAAACTTTTGAAGTCTTGACTACAAAAAGGAAATTAACTTCTCAGTTATTCTCTGCTATTCTCTGCTATTTGGCCTACATTTCAAACAGAATTTGCACTGCGGTTTTCCGTAAACAGCAGACTTAAAATAGCTTTGTGTTGAGGGAACCCCTGCTATGGACTCTCAGGATGTAATTCATAAATTTAGTCTGTCTTATTTGTCTTCTCTACTTCCTCTTTTCCCTCGTATTGTTTCTCCCTGCTGGCGTCTCCTCTGTCACAGCTCGCCATTTTTCCTCTCGCTCTTTCAAACCTGCTCTATTTGGACACCCAAATATTTACACATAAAACTCTGTCCCTCCAACACAATGACCCAGAGTGGATTATGTTTTTGAAGGAAAAAAGCACAGGAACGGTAAACTTGCAGCCTCTCACGTGCATCAGAGAGCTTCATTAATTCAACAAACAAGTGAAAATTTGCTGAATTTTGCTCACCCTCAGGCCATCCAAGATTAGGATGATTTTGTTTCCTCATCAGATTTGGAGAAATGTAGCATTGCATCAGTGTCTCAGCAATGGATGCTCTGCAGTGACTGAGTGCCGTCAGAATGAGAGTCCAAACAGCTGATAAAAACATCACAATAATCCACAAGTAATCCACAGCACTCCAGTCCATCAGTTAAATGTCTTGAGAAGACAAAAGCTGCATGTGTGTAGGAAACAAATCCATCAAGACATTTTAAATTCAAACAGCCGCTTCTGGTCAAAATGCAGAGTCCTTAATCTAAAAGAACGCCCATTTAAAAAGTCCATCTCCTGTTGTCTCTCACATCCAAATATTTGTTTAGAGCTGTTTTGGACTGCTTGTAAACGGTGCTTGATCTGTGCAGATTTCTCTGCTGATTCAGACCAGACACATTTTCACTGGAGGAAGCGTTATTATGGATAGAGGACTCAAGCAACAGTTTGGAGTTAGAGATGCTTTAATTATGGATTTGTTTCTTTCAAACATGCAGCTATTTGCTTCACAATTTGTTATCTGATGAACTGGAGTGGTGTGGATTACTTGTGGATTATTGTGATGTTTTTATTTCTCTCCTTCTGACGGCACCCATTCACTGCAGAGGATCCATTGG